AGTCAGTGCCAGGAGCCGGTCTTGGCTGTCCATGTCGACGGTAAGCTGCTCTGCCCCCCCGCGCCTGTTGCCCTTGCTAATGCCCTCACTCCCGCTGAGCGTGAGGCTTTCACAGCTGCTGAGCTCGCTCGCTTTGTCTAGGAGTCGCGTAAAGCCACAGCTCAGCTAGTTATCAGTCACGCACCCTACTGTCCGTGCGTCCCCGCTTTCAGGGCCTAGATATGGCCAAGGAGTACCTAGGCGCTATCATTGCTCGCTATTCCACTCCCTCCTCCGCCTCTGCTGGCCATCTCCTCCTGCCCCTGCTCTTCCCTGACCTCTCGTCATTCCCCACTGTCGCAGATCTTGCCACTCACCTATGCGCTCTCAAGACTAGCTACCGCACTGCCAACACTAAGGCTCAGCTCACTGTACTTCCTCCCTCCTCGGCGCTACCCTTTATCTCCTCGCCACGTGCCTCGCCGACCGCCTAGCCACTGCCCATGACACCTTCCTTTGTCTCCACCCCGCTGACCTACCCTTAGCGACTTCGTCGCCACACTGTTGGCGATAGAGACCCGCCGGTGCACTATCGCTCAGTCTAGCGGTACTGCGGCGGTCCCTATCTTCCAGGGCTGTGCTACATCCTAGTGCACGTACTCCGAAGTTCCCGCTGATGTTGCTGCGACAATCTTTGTTGCTGAGGTCGCCGCGTAGAGCCCCCCGTCGTCCTAGAGGGGGGCGTAAGGGAGGGAAGGGTGCTGGGGGTGGCGGGGGTGGCCAGGGAGGTGGAGGTGGTGAGAGCGTTGGGAGTGCAAACAAGGGGGTAGCCGAGGCAGCAGCAACAGACAAGGTAGAAGCAGCAGATGCAGCAGCAGTAGTCGCAGCAGTAGCAGCAGTAGCAGCAGTCGCAACAGCAGCAGCAGGAGCAGTCGCAGCGGCAGCGGCAGTAGCAGTGGGGGCCCTCACCACCGTGGTGACCAGGCGGCTTTGGTGGTGGTGGTCGTAGAGGTGGCCCTCGCAGCTCGACGTCGGGTGGCAGCTCCAGATTGGTGAGTTGCTAGTACCAGCTTCAGACTGGTCCCCTTTGTGGCACCGTGTGTGACCATCCTGGTACATCGCTGTGTGTCGGGCTTTGAGATGGATATGGATCAGATTTGCTCTGCTTTGTATGCCATGTATAATGATGACTCTAGTGTCACTTGACCTTATTACCCTATGTTGCCTAGCCTAGGTGTGTCTGTTGTGTGTAGTCTAGGCTCCCCAGCAGCATCATGCGTAGGACCTCCAGACTTGTTTAGCCTTGGCTCCACGCTAGTACCCCCGCTGGCTGACGCTACCGCCGTGCTCTCCTTCATGTTGGACTCTGGTGTGTGCTCCTGCTTCTTTTGCGACCACACCACTCTCACGCCAATTTCAGCACCAGAAGCAGTCTCCCTTGCCGACCCCTCCTCTGGTCAGGTAGTTGCACGTACTGTAGCTCTACCACACTTCCTTGTCCGACGGTTCCCTATGGCTCTCTTATAGGTCTGCACATCCCCTCGTTCTCCAGGAACCTGGTTGGTGTCGGATGTCTTCAGGACCTCGACGTCACCACCACGTTTCCTGGACATGAGCGGTACTAGTCTACACTGAGGCCGCCACTGGTGCTCCCCTCACCATGTTCCCCAGGGACCCAGTGTCTGGCCTGTTCACGCTGGACACCGCGTCCCCCCCCGGTTGCTGTGTCCCCCTAGGTGGCTGCGTATACGCAGATCGCTGCGGCTTGCTCGTGTCGGTTGCTCACCCACCTGTTCCTGCAGTGGCACCACCGCCTAGGTCACCCCGCACTCCCGCGACTTTGTCACATGTCCCAGCACGGCCTTGTCTTAGGTCGCGCTGCGTTGCTCCCTGCCCTCCCTCCCTCGCCCGTGTCTCCGTGCACGCCTTGCGTCGAGGGTCGGCTACGACGTGCTCCTCACTCCTCCTCGTTTCACCCCACCACTGCGCCTACCATGCACTTGGACGTCTGGGGCCCAGCCCGTGTCCTTGGGCCACGTCGCGAGCGCTACTTCCTGGTTCTTGTAGACGACTACTCGCGCTACACCACGGTGTTTCCTCTGGAGCGGAAGGCCAACGTGCCTGACATTCTTATCCCGTGGCTTGTAGCTGGTCGAGTCCACCGCGCCCAGCCAGTGCTTCGTCTCCACTACGACCGTGGTGGCGAGTTCGTCTCCGGTCGGCTTGGCCACTTCTGTCGTGGGGGAGGGCATCACCCAGTCGTACACTCTGGCGGACTCCCCACAACAGAATGGGGTCGCTGAATGACACATCGGTTGGTCATGGAGGTGGCTCGTACCTCCATGATTCATGCCCATGCACCCCATTTTCTATGGTCATTCATAATTCGCTACGCTGCTCACAAGCTTAACCTATGGCCCCGCTCTTTGCGCCCGCAGGTTTCGCCGACCCTTCTCTGAGCCGGATCCCCTGGTGACGCGTCTACGTTTCACGTCTGGGGCTGCCTATTAGAGGTGTGGACAAGCTCACCGCCCGCACTGTCCCTTGTGTCTTTCTTGGTTTCCCCTTATACGCTTCTGATTGGCAATTTTACCACACGTCGTCTCACCATTTCTTTCACTCGCATGACGTAATCTTTGAAGAGTCTGTCTCCTTCTACACTCGCTTCCCCCTCCGATGTCTCCATGTTACCTCACCCATGTTCTTTGTCCCCACTCTCCCGGTAGCTCCCGCTCCCCGTCCTGCCCTATCTAGTGTGTCCCACGTCACTCCCCTTCCTTCGCTTGGCCCAGCGGAGGAGTTTGCTGACTCAGGGGGCCCTGAGGCTCAGGGTGAGTCACCTGTTTCTGCGGCGCCTGCACCCTTGGCCCCCGTGCCTCCTCCACCGCCGCAGCAGCAGTAGTCGCCGTCGCCGCAGCAGCAGCAGCAGCAACAAGGGTCAGTGGGCTCTGGGGTTATTAGCGCCGGGGGGCCTGAATCTGAGGAGGTTTCTAGTTCTCGGGGTGCTAGTCTTAGGGGTGCTGGTCCTGGGGGTGCTTTCGTGGAGAGTACTGGAGGTACCCGTAGTGCGGCTGGAGGCCCTGGTGTGGGCGCGGAGCAGCAGCCACAGCAGCAACAGCAGCGGCAGCCGCCAGTGTCCGCCCTTCGCCTCCTCGGTCTTCCCTCCGCCGATCGACCGCCCGCGCCTCCCCCAGCGCTGCCTCCTCCTCCTATTTACGGCCCTGTGTTCCCCCCGCCAGACTCGTCCCCGGCTCGTTTCCCCCCTCTTTCTCCTCCCCGGCTGGTGTCTCCTCCTTTGTCTCCTGACCCTACTCCCCCCTCTTGGTGGTGGTCTCACCGTCCCTCTCGTGCTCATTCCGTCTCTCCCGCTCCAAGTGTCCACCCTATGTCTCTCTGTTCTCACGCATCTCGTGCTCCTCTCGCCCCTGTTCTCTCATCACCTCCTCAGTCGTCCCTCTCTTTCTCCTTGCCTCATCTCTCTGAGTTTCTCCATGCTGCTTGCCCTCTGGTTCCTCGTGTCCTAGCCTCTCTTGTTACCAACCCGTCCGTTCCTATCTCTATTAGCTCTTGTCGCTGCCATCGCTGACTTTGCCTCTACCCGCCGCCTTGACTAGGCCACTGCTCTGGTCTCTGACCCTACCCATCCTCCGTCTGTCGGGGGTGCATCTGCCCTTGGCAGGGACATCCTAGAGGGCAGGCAGTACGAGATAGCTTTCCTTTCGGAGACCGCTCCTCATCTCTGCTCCATGCTGCTAGCCCCTAAGGGTGACCCAGACGCGCTTGACATCCCGACCCCTCGCACCTACGCTAAGGCGACCTCGGGACCCTGTGCCTCTCAGTGGATAGCTGCCATGGACCCAGAGATGGCATCTTAGAGATCCACCGGCACGTACGTCGACGCAGTTCCCCCACCCAGGGCGAACGTAGTCGATGGCCGGTGGCTCTTCAAGGTGAAGCACCCTCCTGGAGAGCTGCCGGTGTTCGAGGCGCGCTACGTTGCTAGAGGTTTCAGTCAGCGCGAGGGGGTTGACTTCTTCCATGACCACTCTTCTGGCGCTGCTTCAGGGAGGGCAGCAGGCGCGGCGGGACAAGGAAGCAGACCATCGACATGGCTCTGACCTGTCTGGTGACGACGAAGGTTGACGAGCCAGGCCTCAAAGTTTATCGCCTGACCCTCCGCATCCAGGCGGAGCACAGCGTCCACCATCCCACGACCTCAGCGGCTGACGGCGGCACGACGGCACGGTGGTACAGTGGCACAGCGACCCGGCGACACGACGGCACAGTGGCTCGGCAAGACCGGGGTCAGCGCGAGGGAGACCGGCAAGGAAGGGGCTGGCGAGTAAGGGGGGGGGGGGGGGGGCGGAGGGGCTGGCGAGCTGGGGGCCGGCTAGTGGGGTCAGCGCGAGGGAGACCGGCAAGGAAGGGGCCGGCGAGTAAGGGGGGAGGGGGGGGGGACGGCGAGCTGGGGGCCGGCTAGTGAGGGGCCGGCTAGTAAGGGGCCGGCGAGCTGGGGGCCGGCAGACGAGGGGCCAGCGAGCTAGGGGGCCGGTCTGCGTGGGGCCAGCGAGCGCGGAGCCGGCGAGTTCAGGCCAGCGAGCGCGGGGTCAGCGGGCGTGGGCCAGTGAGCACGGGGCCAGCGGGCGTGGACCAGCGAGAGTGAAGCAGGCGAGCGTGGGCCAGCGAGCACGGGCCAGCGAGCGTGGGGCGAAGAGGGCAGGCCAGTGAGCGCGGGGCTACAAGGTTGGGCCAGCGAGCGCGGGGCGACGAGGGCGGGCCTACGAGCGCGGGGCGACGAGCGGGGCCTGCAGGCTAGGGCTAGGGCCAGGACTAGAGCTAAGACTAGGGCTAGGATTAGGGCTACGGCGGAAGCGCAGGTGGGCAAGGAGGACCTAGCCTAGCGTGATACCGTCTCAAGGTTGCGAGCGAGTTGACTAGAATAGGGCATACAGGGTAGTATTGCTCAAGTGTTGTACTCTCTAAGGTATGCTCCTAGCTAGCCTAAAAACATATACAAATATATATTGACAAAAAAGTCCCCTAAAATTAGACACCGATAGCATAATCACTTCTAAACAGAGGGTACAGTCTAACCGCTATCCGGGTAAACGTCCTGGGGCACAAATTACCAGCCAGGCATATATCCTGGTCAAAACACAAGTACATGGCTAATAATCCTCTCAGGCGAATCAGAGTACCAAAAGAAGCATTCTGCAAATCAAGCTTGTTTCTTAGATTTTGCCATAACATGGGTACGGTAATTTCATGCATGCATAGCAGAATTTAGTGTTCTATGCTGCTGAAATGTTGAAGCCTCTTTCTTCCAGCAGATTGATACCAATGAACCTGATGATGGAGAAAACGAAAGGAAGAAGGCGGGCAAATAGGCAACAAAAACGGTTGGGAGGGACCAAAGTGAAAAATACATCCACCCCATAAAAAATAGGAATGCACAATATACCCACATATGCCAATGCGACTCAATCGTACCCATCCATATACATCTCATTCCATGCATACACCCGAGCATACTATATCCACACCAATTCATACACCTCATCCCATATGCCCCATCTTATATCACCATCCCATATCAATCTTGAAAAACCCCCAATTATACCACTCCGTCTCTGTAGCGTTACCTTCCAAGCATGAGGCACGTGGCCATGGGGTTGGTCCCAGGGGATGTGAGAAAGGTGGATCCATCCACCACCCGCAGCGACTGCACCCCGTTCACTCGGTAGCTGCTGTCCACACACACTCCGCGGTGGCAGCCACCGTGGAAGTGCCAGATCACAGTCACCGTGTCCTGTGAAGGGATGCACGAAAGGGGAAGGGGGGATGAGATCTATACACTGTCCACCCCATAGTTGCTGTCCACCCCATAGCTGGTGTCCAGACACACTGTGCCGTGGCAGCCCCCATGGAAGTGCCCGATGACCGCCACCTGTGAAGGGAACTGTGGAGGGGAGAGGGGGAACCCATTTGTTGACCTTTTCGGTTGCTAGTCTCCACACACACACTCACATGGCAGCTCGCGTGGACATGTGCGATCACATGCACATTCACTCAGACGCCCCAGCAGCAGTGACGTTGGGAACGTGAGGGAGAGGAAGGTGGGGCAGGAAGAGAGCACTGCAGCCACTCACTCAGGCAACGGTAAGTGTGAGGCAGGGAGAGGGAGAGGGAGAGGGAGAGAGTCACTCACCCGGCACCACTGGGCAGCAGCAGTGAAGTTGGAAACGTCAGGGAGAGGAGGGGAAGCTCCCCTGTAGTTTCCTGGAGTGACGTAGGCGGCAGAGGGGTCGAGGAGACTGTAGGGAAGGTAGATGGGGGGAGAGGAGAGAAGAGGGGGGGAAGATGGGGGAGGGAAGAGAAGTGAGGGAAGAGGGGATGTAAGAAGGGGAGAAGTGGGGAAGAGCTGAAGGGATTAGGGGAACGGGAATAGGGAATGATGCCTGGGTTATCTGGAGGAGAATGAGTGGGGAGGGTGGAGGTGGAGTGTGAGAGGGAGGTTGGGAGTGGGAGGGAGGGGGCAGGGAGGGAGGTCGTGCCTTACAAGAGAGGGAGTGTGAGAGGGGTGCGAGAGGGGTGGAAGAGGGGTATGCGAGGGGTGTATGAGAGGGGTATGCGAGGGGTGTATGAGAGGGGTATGCGAGCGGTGTATGAGAGGGGTATGCGAGCGGTGTATGAGAGGGGTATTCGAGCGGTGTATGACAGGGGTATGAGAGGGTGCATGAGGGGTGCGAGAGGGGTGCGAGAGAGGGGTGAAAGAGGGGTGAGAGGGGTGAAAGAGGGGTGAGAGGGGTGAAAGAGGGGTGAGAGGGGTGAAAGAGGGGTGAGAGGGGTGAAAGAGGGGTGAGAGGGGTGCCTTACAAGAGAGGGACCGGCGGCGTGTCGTATCGGAAAGGAGCAAGAGCATTGGAGGCAACGATCTTGGTGAGAAGCTGAGCGCCCCTCACACACGTGGCTACATCCTGGGTAGAAACAGTGTGCAGGAGGAAGATCATGGAGAGGGGGTAGGGGTGAGCATTGGAGTCAGGAGGGTGCAAAGTGGCACCAAGAGGGACAGCAGTGGAGCGCCCTCACACACATGGTTCCATCCTGGGTGGAAATGGGGAGGAGGGGGGAGATTATGGAGGGGGAGGTGTGAGCATAGGAGTCAGGAGGGTGCAAAGCGGCACCAAAAGGGACAGCAGTGGAGTAACCTCACACACGTGGGTACATCCTGGGTGGGAATGGGTTGGGCGAGGGGAGGTGAGGCGAAGAGAACGGCATCTGATCATCTAAAGCTTTACTTGCAGTTGTGTCGCACAGGTGGGTCGACATTTCGTTTCATTCACAAAAGACCACGCAGTTACCAGGGGGGCAGAGAAGTAGTTGTAGCGCACGATAGGGTTGTCCGACGCATTCAGGGACGCCAGGGAGAGAGAGCCTCTTGAGGCCGGCAGGTAGACCTGCGAGGGCGAAGAGCAGAGAGAGAGGGGGCGGCAGGGGGGAGAAGGAGGGATGGGATTGAGAAAAGGGGAGAGGCGCCAAGGGGGAGAGAGAGAGGAGGTGGGAGTGAGACGAGAGGAGAGTCTTTGGAATAAAAGGCATCACTGCTTCTATCATTGCCTCCATCCCTCCTGTGCGGTTGATTGGGACACGGTGTTCGGTTCGCCACTGCCGCCAGCATGCAGTCCAGGACCACCTTGTGCCCCTGCCTGCACGCCCCCCTGCACGCTCACCTTGTGCAGAATAAACCCCGCCTGGTTGAGTGAGTCTTGAATAAACCCCGGTATGTACGGCAGCATGGCGTCTATCATCGCCTCTGTCTGGCCCGTGCGGTTGATCGGGGGCAAGGTGTTCAGCTCGCCTGCTCCCGCCCAGCTCAGCGTGTGGTTACTGCCTGACGCGCCCTCAATGATGTTACCCTCTGGCGTTACAGCAACGAACTGAGAGAGGGGAAGAAAACAGAGGAGTGGAGTTATGCACTTTATTATCTCACCGTGTGGTTACTGCCTGACGTGCCCCCCATGGTGCTACCCTCTGGCGATAGATTGGAGCAGGGGAGGTGGAATTTGAAGTGGGGGCGATAGATAGGTTGCTTGCACCCCTTATGTTGTATTGATTGATACGGCCATGCATTGATTGATACGGCCATGCATTGATTGATACGGCCATGCATTGATTGATGGGGGCGATAGGCAGCGATTGATTGGGACATTTTGTCGTTAAGAAAGCTCAGCTTTACCCAACGCGTTCCATCTATCTCTTTCTCGCATTTCAATCCGTCTCCTTCCTCCACTCATCTCCTCCTTCCCTACCATCCACTCTCCTCCCCTCACCTGCAACGACGGCTCCTCAACTGGCCTATGGAACAGCGCATTGTTCCCATTGATAGGCACGTCCGTTACCAGCACGCCCACTCCCGGCTTCTCCCATTCCGCTGCACCGTATTCCCGCTGGCCCCCATTCGCACGTGTGAAGAGGTCTCTCCAATGGGCATCTGGGCAAACGCGCATTCATGCTGTGGCTCGGCCCGTGGCTGCGCTCATGCCCACCCCCGGCACCTTCTATTCCATCCCCCCTACCCCCCATCCACCTACTCTCCCCTCACCTGCAATGAAGCCTCCTCAACAGGCCTGGGCGACAGCACATTGATCCCATTGATAGGCACGTCCGTCACAAACACGCCCACGCCCATGCCCACGCCCTTGCCCGTGCCCACGCCCACGCCCATGCCCACGCCCATGCCCACGTTCAGCACCTCCCGCTGCAGGGGAATTCCGAGCGGCTCCAGCTTCTCCCTTGGTCCCTCCCAACCCGCCCACCTCCTGTCCGTGCCGTCCGTGAGTGAGTGATTTCTTATTCCGACTCAAACATCACCTCCCCCTACCTGTAAAGAAGACTCCTCAACAGGCCTGGGCGACAGCACATTGATCCCATTGATAGGCACATCCGTTATATTTACGCCCACACCCGGCACCTCCCGCACCAGGGGGATCCCCAGGGGCTCCAGCTTCTCCCTCGGCCCCAGCCCGCTCAGCAGCAGCAGCTGCGGCGACCCCAGAGCCCCTGCTGCCAGCAGCACCTCTCCCCCGGGGTTCAGCCGAGCCACGTGGCGGCGGTTGGTGCTGTCGGTGAACACCACCCCTGCTGCCCTTGGCGTGGCTGGCGTGGTGGTGAGAGGGGAGGGGAGCAGGAAGGGTAAAGGGAGGGTTCAGATGAGGCGGGCATGTGGCGGGGCAGGGGTTGGTGCATTCACTGAACACCACCCTGCTGCTCTCCGCGTGGCTGCCGTGGTGGGGGGAGGGGAGCAGGAAGAGCAAAGCGAAGCGGGTCAGCCGAGCGACGTGGCGGCGATTGGAGCTATCAGTGAAGGCCACCCCTGCTGCCCTTGAGATTGCAGGTGGCGGTCGGCCAATGCAGCCAGGTAGAGACATTTCCTCGTTTTTTCCCAGTACGCACTCGTCGTACACCCGCCTCGACAGGTACGTACCTCCAGTGGTGTCCAACAGAATCCGCTGCACCGTCGCAAACATGAGCACCGTCAGCCGAGACGCATCACCCGCTTTCAGCAGGTCAGCTGCTGTTCGGCGGGTGCCATTGTTGTCGAAGATGCTGTTGGCCAGCTGTGGGTGGCAGAGGGGAAACCGGAGGGGTGGAAGGGAGTGGGAGGGAGTGGGAAATGGGGGAGGGCAAAGTTTGGGAGAGCCAAAAAGAGGGAACGGGAGGGTGAATGAAGGCTGAGCAAGTCTTGTGCTGTTCTGCGCGTGCCGTTGTTGTTGAGCCTGGTGCTCGCCAGCTGTCAAGGGACGCGGGAAGCGAGAAGCGGTGGAAGGGGTGGTAACAAGGGGATTGATTGGTTCACTCTTGTAAACATTAACCCCTCGCCATAGCCCAAACCACATTTCACCCATTCAAAATAGCTTCAAGACATCCTCGTTATAATCGCTTATGACCTCGCGTCTCACCTTAATCCTAACCGCGTCCGATGGCATCAGGCCAGCCAAGGTGACTTGCTCCACGGCCCCAGCCCCGCCCGCCACCAGCACTCCCCCCAGTCCCCCTCTCTCAACGTCTCCTGCCACGCGGTTGGCTGCCTGCTTTCGACCCTATCTCTGTCTTTAAAGTCACCTCAACCTAGGCAAAGTCATTCTAGTCACGCCTCACCTTGGTACCAATGAGGTGCTCTGGCGTCTGCCCCCTCCACGGCCCCAGCCCTGCTTCCAGCATGGCATCCCTAAACGCCTCCTGCCACCCCCCTGGCTGCTGCTGCGGCACGAAGGCTATCCTGGACTCCACCCACTCGAACGATGCATTCACACGGGCAGGGTCCCACCCTGCTGCTTGCACAAAGTCAGCAGATGCTCGGCTGCGGGGGAATGGGGACGGGGAGGGAGGGGGGAGACGCACATTGCTACTGCTGTGGCACGAAAGCTATCCTGGACCCCACCCACTTGCGGGAGGATCAAATCTTAGCTGGAGGCCCACCCACCCAGCTGCCTGGATGATATTGGCTGGTGCTCGGCTGGGGGGGGAATGGGAGGGGGGTGGAGAGGCAAGGGGACGATTGCTGCTGCTGTGGGGCGTATGCCATCTGGACTCCACCCACTCGAAGGACGCTCGAGCCCAACCAGGGTCCCACGCTGCTGCCTCGATGACACCAGCTGATGCTCGGCTGCGGGAAGGGGAAGAAAGGGAAGAGCAGGAGCAGGGGGCATGAGGAGAGGAAGGGGAGAGGGGGAACAGCAGGAGCAGGGGAGCGGAGAGGGAAGCGTGAGAGACGAGTAGATAGCAAGAATGGGAACGCAGGTAAGGTACAGAGTCTTTCGGTAGGTGCACCCGCAAAGAGCAATACCTGTAGAACCTGTGGGCGAGCAATACCTGTAGAACCTGTAGGCGAGCAGTACCTGTAGAAGCCAGCGTTGACAGAGCTGCCTCCCCCCAGCACGATCCCCCGTCTGTTCCACACCCCATCCTCCGACCGGAAGGGAACAGACGCCCTCGTGCTCAGCACGTAGGGGAAGGCCTCCCTGCGGTACACCGAGGGCTGGGGGGCAAGCAGGGAGGGTTGAGAGGGGGGGGGGAGGGATTGGTTGAGGAGAAGAGTGGAGCACAAAAGGTGCTCTGACAAGCGCAGACGCCCTCCTGCTGAGCACGTAGGGGAACGCCTCCCTGCGGTACACCGAGGGCTGAGGGAAGGGGTGTGTGGGGGGGGAGAGGGGAGAGAAGAGGTTTTGAGTAGAGAACGAGCCAAATGAGATTACAAACACCCACATGCTGAGGAGAAAAGGAAAGGCCTCCCTGTGGTAGACCGAGGGCTTTGGAATGGGGGGGAGAAATATCGAGTAACGTGCCATGACTGATTCTGTGGCGCACCTTGCTGCTGTATGGTCATCACAGCCATTGTGCCATGCTAGCATACCTGGTCGTAGGGCATACCTGATCATAGGGCACACCTCCCCTCTCCAGCAGCAGCACGGAGAAGCCCTTGGAGAGAGTCGCAGCGAGGGGGCACCCCACTGCACCCCCCCCCACCACTATGAAGTCATAGGTGGGAGGCGGGGCGGAGGGGGGGGAGGTGGGGGGAGTGGTGGTGGGAGGAGGAGAGTAGGTAGCAGCGTCACGGATGTAGGGATAGAGCTGCTGCCAGTTGGGGTCTGGAGGGAAGAGAGGAGGGGAGAGAGGAGGGAAAGAAGAGGGGAGGGAGGGAAGAGAGGGGAAGGCCATTTTAGGAGGAGAGAAGAGGGGGGCAGAGAGAGTGGGGAGGGGAGAGGGTTGTTCAAGCACTCACCATGAGCGTAGGCACTCTTCCATGGCTGAACACTCACACTTAGCTAAGCACTCACCCTTAGCTAAGCACTCACCCTTACCTAAACAAATTGTGACGTCCCGGGACGTCACAAAAAGGTCCAGTGCGGTTAGAGAGCATAAACTCTTGGTTCTGCGACGTCGCGAAACCTTACGCTCTACTTCGGACACCCCCTTAGATGAACACTCACCCATAGCTGAACACTCACCCTTAACTGAGCACTCACCCTTAGCTGAGCACTCACCCTTAGCTGTGTTACAGATAGGCTGCAATTCGGTTGGCACAACTTTGTGTGTTGGCAATTTGTTGGTTTTAGGGATACGCATATTTGTTAGGCTAGGTGTAGCTATGTTTTCATCCCCAACCTATCCCAACCCAATCCATCCCAAATCCCCACGATTTCGGAGGATTCCCTTGGGATTCCCTCCGATTCTCCCTTATCCCTTCCCATCCTCTCCGATGCTCGGTACTTAAGGATGTATGCTCTTGCTCATTGGATTAATCAAGTTCTCAGTTTCTAACAAGCTGAGCACTCACCCTTAGCTGAGCACTCACCCTCAGCTGAGCACTCACCCTCAGCTGAGCACTCACCCTCAGCTGAACACTCACCCTTAGCTGAACACTCACCCTAAGCTGAACACTCACCCTTAGCTGAACACTCACCCTGAGCTGAACACTCACCCTTAGCTGAACACTCACCCTTAGCTGAACACTCACCCTGAGCATAAGTGCGCTCCAACAGAACCACGGCCGCCAGCACTGCCGCTAAGACCACGCCTCGCCGTCCAGCCAACCACGTGCTGCCACGTGTTGTCCTTCCCGCCATGCCGCCGTTGTTTGTGGACCCGTTTGAGGGAGAAGAGCCCAGCGGGAGAGCAGAGCAATAGTTGCTTTGAGATGTCTCGAAACAGCTCTCTTTTCACGTCTATGGAAACGGCTGCTGAGTTGGAAATCGGGCAGAGAGACGAGCGATTCCAAAGGGGCAGAGGCGAAAAGCGGCTGCTGATCGAGCGGCGAGCAAACGCTGCGGCGAGAATGTCGAGAGGAATATGGAAACCACGTGTTCGGATAGGCGGATGGAGAGAAAGCCCGAACGATATAAGTACTTCGCGACAGCTGTGCCCCTTTTGCCAAGGGAGCAAGGGATTTAAGAGGGTGGACGATCCCAAGGGGCACCTGACGCAAGTCGAGTCGCGCACTCCCAAGGCGCGCGTTCATCGGCATGGTTCGGCCCAATTCCCCGAGCCTCGAGCCGCCTCGGACTGTACGTCGGGCGATCGGAGGTCGGGAAACGCGAGAGCGGCGACGACGTGACTAGTAGCTGCGCACGCTAATCCGCCTCGGCCGACGCAGGACTCCTGTACACGCGGCTGCTGTCTGACAGCATGGCCCCGTTCTTGGTTCTGCGCGCGAGAGAGGTGACGTGACCAGCACACGCTAATCCGCCACGACTGGCGACGCAGGGTCGCATGGAGAGGTGAGGTCGCGGCCATTCTTGGTTCTGCACGCGAGAGAGGTGATGCGACTAGCTGCACTGCACACACTGATCCCACCTCGACTGCTAGCGGCGACACACGTTATTCTTGGTTCTGGCGGCTACATGTGCGAGATGACGTGACGTGACTTGACTAGGAGTTGCACCACAGCACGCCAGCCCGTCGTGCCTCCACTTGACAGGCTTGATTCGGTCGCTCTAGATGTCGGTGGCTAGGCTACGTGTGCGAGATGACGTGATTGGGAGTTGTACTCCAGCACGCCAGCCCGTCGTGCCTTCACACTGCACCAGACTGCCTCGATTGGGTCGCTCTAGATGTCGGTGGCTAGGCTACGCGTGCCACGATTCCCTCAGTGAGTGCGAGTCAAAGGCCGCAGACTCTCGAACGGCCGGAGAGACTGTGATAACGACGTGATGGAGCGGACAATTCGAAGGACACACTCGTGATGAGTGTGCGACAATGAGTGTGCGACAATGCGTGTGCGACAATGAGTGTGCGACAATGACTCTCGAACAGCTCGAGACTGTGATAACGACGTGATGGAGCGGACAAGCCGTGCGACGAGGGGCCGGCCTCGCCACACGCGTCGCTTGACGTCGCAAGCCTAGCATCGCATCGAGACGTAGTCGTCGTGCTTGAAAAGGCCTCGGAATTTCGCCCTAAAGGAAAACGTGTCGAGGCACATCGATGCATGCGACACTAAAAGCGGGCAGTGCACATCGCACGACGACTCGAGACGAATGACCCGATTCGAGAGCGACAGAGGGTAAAGCGGTTGATTTTCTTCGCACAGGCGATGATTGCGACAAAAGGCCGGTCGCACGACCACAGCGATGATGCGGGTGGAGAAACGCCATTGGGTGGGAAGTTGGGAACAGGCTCGGTAGGGATGCTCGGCGAGTGCCGTGCGACGACTGGGGAACAAGCGAGAGCGGGTATGCTGCCGAGATGAAGATCGAGAATGTGACAGGAGACGGACGGACGGTCTTCAGAGTTTAAGACTGACAGGCACGTCGCGTTGGGTGCGACTACGGCAGTGTGCGGGACGACGGGTGCGAGACGCTGACTGTGAGGCTGTGGAGGATGCGGAAAAGCAGCGAGTGGCAATGACAAGTGACAGGCAAGTCACACCTCGTTTTCACGATTGAAGACGATATGAATGAACCAACAAATCCATTATTTTCGTTGGGTGAAGCTCGGGTTGGGAGGAGCAGGTGGGGGGGAAAGCCAGCAAATCCCTTAGTTAGGAATTGCGCGGGAAATCAAAAGCATTGTTTGCGGCTCGGCGGGGCTGTTTGTCCACGAAAATGATTTACGAACCGTGGGATTTGATTATTTGATTTCCCATAAATCGCGACCGTAAATATCGAGGCCCACGCCCGAGCAAGTTCTGCTTGCGATGTGCGATGTGACATTAGGGCGTGTCCCAAGCAGGGCTCTCGCTAAGCAGGCCTGTCGTTATCAGGGTATTTTACCCTGATTCCCTGATTTCACAGGGTATTTTTTTTGCCAACCCTTAATTTTCAGGGTTGGGCTTTTTTGAACCCTAACCTCTTCAGGGTTGTATGTCTGTGAACACTGAGAATTTCAGGGTTTGCGTTAATTCCCCCCTCGTGTTGAAGGCAACCCTGAACGCGCTCGGTGAACCCTGGGATTTTCAGGGTTCCAGATTTCTGAACCCTTACAAATCAGGGTAGGCAATTTTTGAAACCTGAGCCCTCAGGGTAAACGTTTTTTTTTATTCGACAGCTCAGGGGGGGTTTTTTTGAAACGTCAGCCCTGTCGCTAAGCCTTTTTAGTACTCTGTCCCCTACTCCCCCCCCCCCCCCCCCTCCCCCCACCCTCCCTCCCCCCCACACGCGGTCTTTTTCGTCCGGATAGGGGAGTTCTTGATTTATGTTTCATCCGGGTTTGAGTGAAATGTTACTTTGTGCCGAGTTACACGAAGGGCCTACTCGGATTGCTTGTCCAGGTTTCCTCGCAAGTGCCGCATCACTTCATGTCAGAGATTCGACAGCCTAGATCAGCACGCGACAGTAAATGTGTTGACGTTACTTATCAAAATTGAGAAGTGAATTGTGGATAGAGTGAGAGTACACACAGATATACCTAAGTGTTGTACTCTCTAAGAGGCGACCCTATACAGTCTATACAAACATGACAAATACACATGTTTGACACACCCCCTAGACTGCATAGGGGAATGCCCTAAACAAACAGCTCAGGGCGGCACTACTAGTCCAACCTCTGAGACAAGGGTCTGAGAGACCAGTCAGAAGGAGTACAAACAAGGCAAGAACAAGAGCAGGGCGGCACTACTAGTCCAGCCACTGGGAGAGGACACAAGTCCAGTCTGAGTATACGTATAAAGGACAGTACAAAGTCAAGGTCCTAGCAAGTGAGAGGCTACAGGAACTAGACCAAGCTGTACACAGTGCCGCTGATGATCTTTAGGCGCAAGCGCCTTCGTAAAGATATCAGCCGTGTTGGCACCTGAGGCCAAGTGTACTACGCGAGCCTGACGTCGCTGCTGTAGCTCACGCAGGAGGAAGTACCGCAGCTGAATGTGCTTTGCTCTGCCCTCGAGTCGAGGCTCCTGACACAGGAGGATCATGGCCCTGTTGTCAGCGAACAGGACCGGGGCAGAGCTAGGCCGCTCACCTAAGTCAGTGAGCAAGAAGGTCAGCCAGCGGAGCTCCTGTGCCGCCATGGCACCAGCGTAGATCTCAGCCTCACAGCTGGACTGGGCAACAGACGAGGAGCGGGTAGCTCTCCACGAGACGGCACCTGAGCCAAGGCTGAAGCAGTAGCCCTGGGTAGACCTGAGTGTCTCAGCGTCGTCTGCCCACGAAGCGTCTGTGTGTCCAGTAAGGACCACTGGCCTGCGTCCTCCTAGCACTAACCCCATGCCCGATGTACTAGCAAGATAACGCAGAACCCTCTTAGCGGCAGACCAGTGCTGCGGTCGGTGCCTGCCTGTGGCCACAAAGCGAGCCAGGATGCTGAGAGGGTATGCGAGATCTGGGCGAGTGCAAGTCATCAGGTACATGAGGCAACCCACCAGCTCTGCGTAGGGGCCGCTGGGCTCTACCAACTCCTCAGACACTGGAGCGGAGAGTCTGTGGTCTACAGGCAGAGGGGTGGGCTGTGCAGAGGAGAACTGAAGGCTGAACCTCTGAAGGACCTGGCGCACCAAGTGTGACTGAGTCAGGGTGATGGTGCGCGTAGCTCTGTCCCTGGAGATCTGCAAGCCAAGGTAACGGCGCAGTTCTCCAAGGTCAGTGCACGTGTGTCTCTTCAGAAGCTCTGCCTTCACGGAGGCCAGTGCGTCCCTGTCAGCTGTGGCAAAGACCAGGTCGTCGACGTAAACAAGGATGTAGAACGGAGTCTGGCCAGCACGAACGAAGAGTGAAGGGTCTGCGGAAGACGGAAAGAACTGCAGGTCAGCAAGCGTAGCACGGAGAGTGTCGTGCCACTCACAGGGAGCCTGGCGCAGGCCGTAGACGGGGCGCCGCAGGAGCCACTGGGTCCCAGGAGGGAAGGTGCCAGTGAAGCCCTGAGGGCGCCGCAGGTAGACCTGCTCGTGTAGGCTGCCCTGAAGGAAGGCAGTGGAGAAGTCGAGAGAGTGAAGCTCGTAGTCACGCTGAGCAGCTAGGTGTAACAGAACCCGAAGAGTAGTCATCTTCAGGGTCAGGGCGAAGGTCTGGAAGAAGTCCACCCCCTCGCGCTGACTGAAGCCTCTAGCCACATAGCGCGCCTTGAAGACAGGCGGCTCTCCAGGAGGGCGCTTCACCTTGAAGAGCCAGCGGCCATCGACTACGTTCACCCCAGGTGGGGGAACTGCGTCGACGAAGGTGCCGGTGGATCTCCAAGATGCCATCTCCTGCTCCATGGCAGCTATCCACTGCGAGGCCCAGGGTCCCGAAGTCGCCTCAGCGTAAGTGCGAGGGGTCGGGATGTCAAAAGCGTCTGGGTCACCCTCAGGGACTAGCAGCATGGAACAGAGATAGGGAGCAGCCTCGGAGAGGAAAGCAAGCTCGAACTGGCGGTCCTCCAGGACGTCACTGCCAAGGGCAGGAGCACCCCCGACAGACGGAGGACAGGCAGGGTCAGAGACCAGAGCGGAGGCATAGTCAAGGCGGCGGGTAGAGGCGAAGTCAGCGACAGCAGCGACAAGAGCGTCAAGGCATGAGGTCGGAACAGACGGGTCGGTAACGAGAGAGGTAAGGACCCGAGGAACAAGGGGACGAGCGGCACGAAGGTAGTCAGACAGCGGGGGGGGTGCAACAACAAGGGAGGACGGAGGAGGCGACGGCAGAAGGGGAGGACGAGACGCGTGGGAACGAAGCAACATAGGGTGGGAGCGCAAGACAGGCGAGGCAGGACGAGCACGGGAGGGACGGTGAGACCAGATGTGCGACGGAGGGGTCGGGTCAGGAGACAGAGGAGGGGACACAGGAGGGGAACGAGGGGGGAGACGGGCCGGGGACGAGTCCGGCGGAGGGAAGACAGGGCCGTAGATAGGAAGAGGGGGAGACGGCCGGGGAGGAACCGACGCAGGGTCGGGGGACGGAAGGCCGAGCAGGCGAAGGGCTGACACCGGCGGGGACTGCTGCTGCGGCGGCACAACGGCGACACCGGGACCGCAAGCTGCTCCTCGGCTACCACCGGCACTCTCCACATCAGCACCCCCAGAGGGACCACCCCCAGGGCTACCGGGACGAGCACCCCCAGAGTCAGCGAACGGGTGCTGCGACGGCGGCGGCGGCGGCGGCGGCAGCGACAACGACGGCTGCAGCGGCGGCAGAGGCGGTGGAGGGGGGGATTGGGGAGGGGACGCTAGGGGAGGGGCGGCCGGCGAGGACTGAACAGGAGGGCCACCAAAGTCAGAAGACTCCTCAACCGGGTCCACCGACGGAACGGGGGTGACGTGGGACACACCAGAGGGGGCGGGACGGGGAGGAGGAGGAGGAGGGGCAGGGACTACCGGGGAACGAGTGACCAGGAACAGGGGGGGGGTAACCGGGGGACCACGGTGGGGGAAGCGACGGTAGTAGGAGATGGACTCGTCAAAGGTGACATCACGAGAGTGAAAGAAGCGGTGAGACGGCGGGTGGTAAAAGTGCCAGTCGGACGCGTCAAGGGGAAAACCAAGGAAGACGCAGGGAAGGGTGCGGGCAGTGAGCTTGTCCGTGCCGGAGGCACGGACGTGAGCAAGGCAGCCCCAGACGTGGAACGCAGACGCGTCACCAGGAGACCCAGTCCAAAGACGAGTCGGCGAAACCTGCGGCTGCTGAGGGTGCGGCCACAAGTTAAGCTGGTGAGAAGCGTAGCGCACAGCGAACGGCCACAGAAAATGGGGTGCACCGGCATGGATCATGGAGGTGCGAGCCACCTCCATGACCAAACCGATGCGTCGCTCAGCGACCCCATTCTGCTGTGGGGTGTCCGGTAGGGTGAACGTCTGGGTGATGCCCTCCGCACGACAAAAGCGACCAAGGACACCTGAGGCAAACTCGCCACCACGGTCGGAGTGAAGACGCAAGACAGGGAGACCGCGGTGGACACGCGCAGAGACAAGCCAGGGGATGAGAGCGCCAGGCACGTCGGCCTTGCGCTCCAGGGGAAAGACTGTGGTGTAACGAGTGAAGTCGTCGACAAGCACAAGGAAGTAGCGCTCTCGACGCGGCCCAGGGACGGGGGCGGGGCCCTAGACGTCCAGGTGCAGGGTCTGCAGCGGCGCGGCGGTACGAGGAAACGAGGAGAAGTGCGGGGCACGGCAAAGCCGACCCTCAACACAAGGCGTGCAAGGTGGGGCTGGGGAGGAGGGAAACGCGGGGAGGGAACCTGGGAGACCAAGAACAAGACCGTGCTGGGACATGTGACGCAGACGCGGGAGCGCAGGGTGACCTAGGCGGTGGTGCCAAAGGAGAGTCGGGTGAGTGAGGGACCGACAGGAGCAGGCAGCAGCAACCTGGGTAGACGCAGCC